AATCCCGCGTCTTTCACAAAGAGCCCGAAGCGGTCACGCTCGGTGCGCCTCTTTCTCCACCGGCTCCGTGAGCGGCTCACCGGGACCCTGGCGCTGCAGGCATCGTGACCCGCGCGGCACGGGGCTGGGAGAACCTCGGTGCGTGCTGCAGGTCGTGGGGTTGACACCTTTAGGTAGTTAGGAATTTCTCAATCAGCACTCCAATTGCTTCCATCTTGTTCAGTTTTTTTTTTTTTTTTTTTTATTAATATATGCTTGTAATATATAAATGACCACATGCCTCCTGGGGAGTTGATAGATGTACATAGCACATCTCAGTTCTTAAATCTCCTAACTCTCCAGCAAGATTGTATCTCTTAACCCCGGCGCGGGAGGTGGGGGTGGAGAGAAACAGAATCCTACTTGAGGTTTTTTTCAAGGAGGCCAGGATAAGAGCCTGGCAGGGAGGAAGCTGGATTAGGAAAAAGAGAAAGCATTTTAATCCCACACTACTGTGGCGCTTAGAACAAGCTGATCTCTGAAGGCATATTGTGTGTGTGTAGTGTTGGGGATTGAACCCAGGGCCTTCTGCATGTTAATCAAAGCTCTGCCACTGAGCTGCCTCCCCAGTCCCTGAAGTCACTATAGCAGCGATTTCTAATAGACTATAGACTACAAGCCACATGTGATTGTAGGTGTTCTAGTAGCTACATAAAAAAAAAAAAAAAGATGCTAGCTGTATCATTTTTAAGTAACCAAAATGTCATTTCAACATATAACAAATATAAGAATTACTGGTGAGGTCATGTTATTTTCTTGGGTCTAAGTCTTTAAAAATCTTGTGTGTTTTACGTCACATCTCGATTGGAACTATGCACATTTCAAGTGCCCATGGCCGCCTGTAGCTAGTGCTTACTCTGCTGCACAGGGCATGCTGTTGTAGAAGATGTCTTGATTTGGCCTTTGAATTACCCAGGATTATTATGTCAGTTACCTGTGAATTCCTATAAATGTCACACTATACGTTCAAAGCTACTGGTGGTATCTTGAAAGCTATGAGTACCTGCAAAAACAAAATAAAACCAAAAATAAAAACCAAAAAGGAAAAATCGGAAGCCAAGGCTGTAGAGAGGAAAAAAAAAAAAAAAACCCACTGTTGGTACCAAGAGAGCCTAATATACATATCCAGATATTACATAATTTTTCCTGCAACTATCTGTAGAAAATAACTTGACTGGAAATACTGTGCTCAACGGGACTGCCTGCTAACTCTTAGAGGCGTCTTCACCCCGTGGTTAAGAATGCAGACTCTGCGGTAATCCTAGCTATTCAAAGGGCAGGAGGATCGCAAATTTCAGGCCGCTGCCTTGGGCCATTTAGCAGACACTGTCTCAAAGTAAAACTGGGCTGGGCCTGTAGCTCAGGAAGAAGGCCCTGGCTCAATCCGCAGGACCTGGAAAAAAACAGTCGAGTCTGGAGCCAGCCTGCTTAAATGCTGGCTTTACCTTGGAAGTGATTGTGTGATACAGTCCAAACCAGCCTGCCCCGCCATTCCCCATCTCAAAAGTGGGGCCAGTTAACATATCTATATCTCCATGGATCTGTGAGCAGTAACAGGTTATCCAGGTGAGGGACTCAAGGTTAATGCTTAATACTGTCAAACACTAGGATTCTTTTTGTCAGCAGTGAAAAGAAACTACCGAACCGGGCGTGGTGGTACACGCCTGTAATCTCATTACTCTGGGAGGCTGAAGCAGGAGGATCAAAAAGAGTTCTAGCCCAGCCTGGGCTAATTAGCAAGACCCCTGTGTCAAAATTAAAAAAAGAATTGGGGATGTAGTATAGTTTAGTACTGGTTCAATTCCCAGTACTGAAGAAAAAAAACAAAAAAACCATTGAGTGATAGAATTGATTGACGTCTTTTCTACTTCAGTTGTTGATAGTGAGGGACGTTTATTTTCTAGGTAGAAGGCAAGCATTGCATGCATTAAATGAGTGCCTAACGTTTGCCCAGTGGGCAGAAAGCTTGTGGGCATGTGCTGCACCGTGTCCTGCCCGACATTGTGAATGCTGGCTACAGAGTTGCCTAGAGCTTCAAATATGTGCCTCCAACAGTGGACTGATTTTACAGCTCGCTGCCTCTTTCCCAGTGGGATGTGTTTCAGGGACAGGAGCCATGCACTTTTAGGGAAGAATATAAAACCTTGTTTTCACCACTTGTGTGTGCCAACCTCTATGCTGAGATAGCATTTAAGACCCCACACTACTGACCCCCATTTTATAAAACAAATGGAAGCTCAAGTTTTAAATAGCACCACAGTTGGTGGCTTTGCTGGGTCACACCCTTCGGATCTAGAGTAAGAGAATGCATTGCGTGATTTTATTGCGTGTGCCTCCGGAATAGAATTAGGTCTTAAGGTTGAAGTAGTAGACATGTCGAGCTTTCTCTTTAAAGTACGGAATGTCTCCTCCAAAAAGTGGCTAAAACACTACCACAGACTGAGAATTTTGCCCTCTGCTCAGGTTGAAAGCAGAGTACAGGGATCTTCTCTTTCCCTCAGTTTTACTTTCTGGGTTTCACTTATCTAAAATGAACTGCAGGGCTGGGGATTTAGCTCAGTGGCACAGCGCCTGCCTGGCAAGCACAAGGTCGTGAGTTCAATTCCCAGTACCAGAAAAAACAACAACAAAAAAAAAAAACAAAAAATAAAATGAACTGCAGCCCAAAAAATATTAAGTGGAAATTTCCAGAAATAAGCAGAGACCACATTATAATTGTTCTATTTTATTGTTAATCTTTCCCAAAGCCTAGTTTATTAATTAAACTGCATCTTAGGTGTGTATGGGAAACAAGGCAGCATGTGTTGGATTTCACAGTCTCTGGTTTCGGGGAACCACTGGGCCCAAGGGGTCACTGGGGAGATATTTCGTGAAACAGGTCCTCCTCTAACTCATGCATCTTTCTTCCTCAGGAAAAGGTAACTATTGGACTCTGGATCCAAACTGTGAGAAAATGTTTGACAACGGGAACTTCCGTCGGAAGCGAAAGCGACGCTCTGAAGCCAGCGCTAGTTCCTCGGCCGCAGCAGCGGTGGGGACATCAAAATCAGAAGAAGGACTGGGGGCTGGCGAGGGCAGGAAGCCAGAAGGAGACAGCCCCTCTTCCCAGCTGCGGCTCCCGCAGTCCCCGGAGCCCCTGGAGGGCACCAAGAGTACTGCGTCCTCCCCGGGCTCCTCCCTGCTCAGCTCCACGCCCTGCCTCAACACCTTTCTCAGCAGCCTCAGCACCCTGAGTGGTGGCAGCGGCGGCGGCACCCAGCGGTCCTTTCCCGGCAGCCGCCACCTGGGCATCCAGGGCGCCCAGCTGCCCCCCAGCAGCCCATTCCCCTCCACCTCCATCCCTGAGGCCTCCTCCGACACCTTGCAGCTGAGTGGTGGCACCAGCAGCAGCCAGCGACCTTCCTATTACAGCCCTTTCTCCGCCAGCAGCACCAGCACAGGCCAGAGCAGCCCCTTCAGCAGCCCCTTCTACAACTTCAGCATGGTTAACAGCCTCGTCTACCCCCGGGAGGGCTCGGAGGTGTAGAGACAGAGAGAGCCTGCACTTGAAGCAAGTTTCTGAGCGGTCCTGTGTGTGGTCTGGGGAAGCAGAGAACGCCTAACTCCAAGGAGCTTGTCCAGGTGTCTCTGGATCGATGCAGACACAGGTAGCCTGTGAGCCCCGTGTGGGCTGGGACCACCTCTGTTCTGTTTGTCACTATTCCAGCAGCTCCAAAACATAAGCCAGTGGAGTTCCTGACTGCGAGGACCACAGCAGCTGCACCTGAAGCAGTAGAGAGAGGTCGGCTGAAGCCTGCCCTGAGCAGCTGGTTGGCTTCTATGTGGCAGGGTGTCGGGCTTTCTAGAAAAGCCAGGTAATCTGAAATTTTATAGGAAATGCCACAAATCCTTGAACTGTATTGCAGCTCACAGGTCCCCTCTGCCTGATATCTGGTGGGTACCAGTAGCAATAAAATACATCCAGCCCTGTGTTCGGAGTGCTATAGTAGATGACTGGACACATTTTTTTTTTGGCACATATTACCCTGTTACCCTCACAGCAACCATGGGAGGTAGGCATGACCAGCCCTCGTTTTCGTTTTGAGGGAGGTAGAACTCTGAGATGTTAGGTCGCTGGCCCAAGTCACACTGAACATTGCTAGAGCTGGTGCTTGTAACTTCACTGTTCTGATTCTTAAAAACGAACCAGTCTCATGGGTAGACTTCCGTAAGAATGGAAGGGGCTAGGGATGGAGCTAGAACTCACCTAACCAAAGATTCTAATTCTAATTAAAAGTCTTTCTTTCCTTTCCTTTTGTTTTTTGGGGGGTTTGTTGTTGTTTGGATTTTTGTTTTTTGTTTTTGTTTTTGTCTTGTCTTTTGAGACAGTGTATTAGTTTCTTGCCTGCTACCTGCAATTTATTTAGAGGAGAGCTTGGTTTGGGTTCATGGTTTTAGGCCATGGTTGGCAGGCTCCACGACAGAAATGGCACAGTAAGAGGGCATGACGGAAGAAGGCTGCTCAGGCTGTGGTGGCTGGAAGGCAGAGAGAGAAGAGCCTAGAACAAAAATATACCCTTCCAAACTGGGCATAGTGATGCATGGCTATAATCTCAGCACTTGGGAGGCTGAGGCAGGAGGATTGCCATGAGCTCAAGGCCAGCCTGAACTACACAGCGAGACCCTGTCTCTAAACACCAAAAGGAAAAAAAAAAAGACTTTTGTGGGACATTTTAGATCAAAACCGCAAGAGACAAGCTCTAGCTATGTAGCCTGTGCAGTCCTTGAACTCTGTAGCCCTTTGGCTTCCAACTTGGAATCCTCCTGTCTCAGTCTCCTGAGTGCTGGGATTGCAGGTGTGCACCACCACAGCTGGCTGAAATAAGTCATTTGGAATGGTTTTCCTGGGCAGCAGAAGCAATACCACCTCTGTCTTATCCTGCTGCTGTTGTCCAAGGTCAGAGAGGACCAGCGCGTGATGGTTAGCAGCATCCTATCTCTCTTAGCTGTGTCCTGGATATTTCATTTTCTAACAAAGTATTATTGAATTTTACAATTAGAACAGTTTTTAAATGGGATTTTTGTAGCTTTTACTATGAGAAACCATTTGTGGTCAGATTTTAAAAAAATATATGTATAATTTTATTTATTTTAGACTTCTTTCACTTCTCAGAGGTATCTTGGAATCACTTTTGTGGTCTCCTTCCCAGGTCCGGCAGAGACCCTGAGATATTAGAATGGCAAAGTGTCCCAGAAGTATTAATTTAAAAATGCAGATAGTTGTTGGGTTTAGGAGAATAGCTTTCCACTGAAATGACAATAATGTCCTATGAGTTGCCTTCATACCATGTTTTTGGGCCTTTGATGTGAGGATAGTTGGGTGTTTTTAAGATTTTTAGAAACTGTCATGCACATTGTAAAAGAAATTTATCCCTGTGTATTTTTTTAAAAGATTCTCACAACGTTACTTTAAAATTTATTTAGGAATAAACGTGGGGAATTTGGGGAGGATTATTTTTCTATGGCTTGTGAGGTACAGATTATATCACCCTTGCCTTTTTTTTTTTTTTAAAGAAATAAGGAAATGCCATTGCCTTTTAGCTATAGTGCAGAAAGACGACCAAAGAGACTACCTACCCCACTCCGGTGTATCCCCAAAACCTGTTTCTATGATTATTTTTGTATGTGAAAAAATCATGTACTTTTATATTGTTTCTATCAAGTCTATATTGTGAATTAATTTATAATGTGAACAAAGACAGCAAAGAAAAATTTTTTCCCTAGAAAGTACAGGGTGGGCAGAGAAGAATCGTGACATGGACTCTGAGCGACTTAGCTTCTGAAAGAGCTGGAATAAAACAGTTATTCTTTGGGGAGAGTCTCTATGCTGCACGTTTATTTCTAACAGTAATGGTTCCTCCCTTCAGCTTTGGGTATGATTCTGGGGGAAGCCATCATTCCCAAGGAAATTGCCAGACTCCTGGACTTGGCCCTAGCTGGAAGGAACGCAAAACCCAGCGTCGTCCACCAGGGTTCCTCAGCATCAGCCTTGTGCTGCCCTAGGGGCGGGATGAGTCCTTGTTGCCCAGCTTGTCCTGTGTGTCAGAGGCTCAGCAGTGCCCCCTACCCATGCGATGCCTTGAGCGCAGCCACTCGGGTGAACCCCAGGAGGGTGGGGGGCTCAGCCCATGGAGGATTGATCTCACCCAACACCCACAACCTGCCAATGCAGCAAGCCTGTCCAGGTAGGCCCTAGGGCCAGTAGTTGGGCCCTGGCTAGGTCAGCCTGGGCCTGCAGAACAGACCAGTTTCTGTCCTGTGTGCTGGCTTTTCTCCTAGAGAAGTCGGCTGTGAGCCAAGCTCAGATCTGGTTAGCCCAGCACGCTGGAGGCAGAGTCTTTGAATGTTCCGGTTCCTAATTAGAGTTTCTTTGGGTAATTTCCTTCTTCACACCTGATTATTTCTATTAATACAGATTTGGGGCTGGGAATAATCTTGACTGAAACATTTCTTGGGAGGGTCAGGCATGAAGGTTTCTTGGAAAGTTTTTTTTTTTCCTGGGGAAGAGTTCTTTGAGATAGGGTCTCACTACGTAGCCCAGGCTGGCCTGGACTCAGCCTCCTGAGTGCTGGGATTACAGGTGTGCACCACCACGCCCGGCTGAGAAAGATTTTTAAAGTACGCATATGATTAAAATGTAGTTGGTGGACGTTAAATGCTAGATTCCTGCCATTCGTGAAGGCAGGTGGAGAGAAATCTGGACAAGGGCAGAGGTCAGCAGGGTGGCTCGAAGCGCTGGCTGAAGAGTCGCTGCTGCCTGGGATGGAGCAGGGACACCCGGCTCTTGCCAGGTGAGGGTTTAGAGAGGGAGGGGTGGAGGGGTGGAGCTGTTACGGATGCTGCCAAGTCAATATTGCAGTCGCACTGACCCCTGCATATGTGATTTTTGTTTTGGCCTGGGAAGCAGGTCAGAAGTCCTAGGTCTGCACTGCTGTAGATACTGCTTAGCTTGGGACCCTGCAGAGGACAAGGTGTCCTGCGGTGTGGGTGGGGATGGGCCCTGTCCTGGGGTTTCCCTGCAGCGGGAAGAGCCGGGCTCATGTCCCAATGGTAGACCAGGTCTCCCACTGGGCCCTGCCTGACTCCAGGGTGCCACTGCTTTCCTGCCCTCTGGGTCTTGGTGCACTGTTCAGAATCACCCCGTTGGAGGGGCCTGGGAAGAACTAATGAGCAGGTTTCAGATTTCCCTCTGACACTTTCAGATCCTGCGTCCTGTTTCTGAGCTTACTGGGAAAAGGCAGCTGGGGAGCCCAGGAGCTTTGGAGACGGTGTCCCTGCAGCCCTCCCCTCTGCACCCCCAAGGGCACTCACAGGTCCCTCGGAGGCCAAACCGGGTGAGCTCTGGCCACAGACACATGGCTTCACAGAGGAGGCTCCCAAAGGCTCCTCTCTTAGGTTGTTAATGAAAAAGAAACCCGTGGTGCTTCCTGGGGCAGCGGATCAGGGCCGGGCTGGGGGCCTGGCGCCTGCCTGGCCTTTGTCATGGAAAGCCCTCTGCTGGGGCATGCGGGCCGGTGGCTGGCACCACCAAAAAAAGAAGGAATTTCCTGTCAGATTCGAAAACAAAAACGGGTCAGAAAAGACAGCGACCTGGCAAATTCCTCCTGGGGAGATATAGAGCACAGGCCTTTATCATTTTAAAAAAGATAAGCATTACAATAATAATAACCCACTTATCAGGGGCCGGGCACTATCCCGAAACATCTATATGAAATATAAAGTGGCTCCATTAATCCTTGCAACAACTCCACAAAGCATACACTGCCCTTACCCGACTCCCAGGCTAGAACCTTGGAGGTCTGGAGCTTGCAAAGCTGCAGGTAAGTGCTGGAAGCAGGATTCAAACTCAGACCGCCGGGTGCCGTAACCTGCCACCCCGCCTCTCCCTTTCGAGTAAGTTCCAGTCGCTTCCCCAGAGCCACAGGCGTGGCTGCTGCTGACTTGGGCTTAGCAGCCAGGCTCCAGTCCGCTGCTCAGCGGTGCTGTTATCCACGAGTTTCCCTTCTACGTTCCCTGGGGTTGGGTTTTGGGTCTGGGGCTTCTTTGTGAGGACACCGGAAGGTGAGCCGTGGCAAGGGGAATCACAGCCTGGTGTGTCCCCCCAGGACCCGCAGCAGCTGGATCAGAGGCCCACGTCTTGACTCTGAAGCTGCCCAGGGAAGCCAGACTTTGAGATGACGCTGGGAGCCTTGGACTCCTCGGAAATGTATTCACTAACTCTGCAAATCCAGGTTGGGCACCGTGCCCTGTGCTGGCCTTTGAGGATACTAATGCGACTAGAACCATCCTCCTCCCACTTCCGTTGCTCCTAGTGAGAAAGTCAGCTTCAGCTTCGAAGTGCAGCTGGCAGCCGGGGCCCCAAGGCTGGCTGATACCTGTCCCCGACCTATAAGCTTCCAGAGAGGGAAGGGGATTGGCTTCACCTCCAGCAGGAGAGTTGGGCAGCTCTGCATCCCGGAAGAGGGTCGCAGCTCCCGGCTCCTTCCCTTCCTTACAACTCCTGCTAGGACAAGATGGACTGGGACGGTTCCAGGTACCCAAAGCGGGCAGAGCTGACCAAGGTCAGGTGGTGCTCACTTCCTGCCAAGCTGAACCTGCTCAGACAGTCTTGCTATGTAACCCAGGCTGCCCTCGAACTCGCAGTGATCCCCCTGCCTCAGCCTACAGATGTGCACCGCCATACTCAGCTCATCTGCACTCTTGACTCCCAGCTTTCAGGCCACAGTGTAGGGGAGGAGCAATGGGGCCGACTTCTTCTCGCACTTCAAAGGAGCTTTGCAGCAGCGCCAAGCCTGCTGGGGTTTTCTCCTCCCCGGTTTGTCCTTCTGAAGCACATTACAATGCAGGATCACTCTGCCTCTGTTGGGATCCAAGCAGGGCAGCTCCAGCAGAGACTCTGGTCCCCCACGGATACCTAATGATCCTGTTGTCCCCGCCCCCGCCTTCTCAGGTCAGTACAGGGGGTTGAACCAGGGTGTTGGCGCTGAGCTCCACTCCTAGTTTGAGTCTCGGCTACACTGCTAACTTGCCAAGGCTGAATTTGAACTTGTGATCCTTCTGTCTCCACCTCCCAGTGTGTTGGGATTACGGGTGGCTCCTAGTCCTTTTTAAAGTTTATTTTTGAGATAGTGTCTTGCTAAATTG